TCTCCTCCTCCCTCCCGCCCCCCTCTCCCCCCCTCTCTCCTCCTCCTCCCCCCTCCCCCCTCCCCTTCCTCCCTCCCCCTCCCTCCTCCTCCCTCCCTCCCCCTCTCCCCCCTCTCCTCTTCCTCCCCCCCCCTCTCCTCCTCCTCCCTCCCCCTCTCCCCCCTCTCCTCCTCCTCCCTCCCCCCCTCCCCCCCTCTCCTCTTCCTCCCTCCCCCTCTCCTCCTCCTCCCTCCCCCCTCCCCCCCTCTCCTCTTCCTCCCTCCCCCCTCTCCTCCCCCTCCCTCCCCCCTCTCCCCCCTCTCCTCCTCCTCCCTCCCCCCTCTCCCCCCTCTCCTCTTCCTCCCTCCCCCTCTCTCTCTCCTCCCTCCCCCCCTCTCCCCCTCTCCTCCTCCTCCCTCCCCCCTCTCCCCCCCTCTCCTCTTCCCCTCCCCCTCTCCTCCCTCTCCCCCCTCTCCCCCCTCTCCTCCTCCTCCCTCCCCCTCTCCCCCCTCTCCTCCTCCTCCCTCTCCTCCTCCTCCCTCTCATCCTCCCTCCCCCCCTCCTCCCGACACTGCACGTTGCCATCGGCCGCGTGGCTCAGCCGAATCTCGCCAGGGGGGTGACAGACTTTGTGCATTTCCTGCGGTGCCAGGGAGGATCTGCCCCGCCGGTGCTTACACTGCCAGCGGCTCAAACACAAATGTTCCGCCTTTTGGGGGACATCTTCAGGAAACTGGGGGTGCCCTTCTACAACAGCAGCTTCGTGTATGGGGTGGTGCCTTACCTGGCTAACAAGCGCCATGACCTCGCCAACTTCGCCTGTGCTCAGGCGAAGTTGGCGGTGTGCAAGACGAGATAAAAGATGCTGCAAGGTGACACTGACGGCTGCTCTGTGCTGCTTCCAGTGTTCAGGGGCCTGCTCAAGGCGCGGCTCCGGCTGGAGCACGCCATGTACCACACACGTGTCGGTGATGTGTCTCTGTCTCTCTCTGTGTCTCTGTCTCTCTCTGTGTCTCTCTGTGTCTCTGTCTCTCTCTGTGTCTCTGTATCTCTCTCTGTGTCTCTGTCTCTCTCTGTGTCTCTGTCTCTCTCTGTGTCTCTGTCTCTCTCTGCTCAAGGCGCGGCTCCGGCTGGAGCACGCCACGTGACACACACGTGCCGGTGATGTGCAGCGCGTCTTCTTCGAGCGCTGGGGAGCCGGACAAGCCCCTCTCTGCACCAGCGTGGACGGCACCTCGTGGTGTTCACCTTCTGCAGCGCTCGCTCGTCACCGTGGCGTGCGCGATGACCACCACAACCACCACCACAACCACCACCACCACAACCACCACCACCACAACCACCACAACCACCACCACAACCACCACCACAACCACCACCACCACAACCACCACCACCACCACAACCACCACAACCACCACCACAACCACCACCAACACAACCACCACCACCACAACCACCACAACCACCACCACCACAACCACCACAACCACAACCACCACCACCACCACAACCACCACCACAACCACCACCACCACAACCACCACAACCACCACCACAACCACCACCACAACCACCACCACCACAACCACCACCACAACCACCACAACCACCACCACAACCACCACCAACACAACCACCACCACAACCACCACAACCACCACCACCACAACCACCACAACCACAACCACCACCACCACCACAACCACCACCACCACCACAACCACCACCACCACGTGACTTTTCTTTCGTGTTGTGGGCGGTGCTTTTTAGCGCCACAGTGCGTCGACCTGGCCATCGCAAGTGACAGCTCAACGGAGCGGCTGATAT